AGTGGACAGATGACTTGGGAAGTGCTTCTAGGAGATAGGTTTACTCTTTTTCTAGGCTCACTTTCCATCTCTGGGCCTGAATTAGGTACAAGCGGAAAGGGCAGGTCAAGCAGGAGCCCTTGGCTCCCTCCTCGGATGGGCAGCTCTGTGTCCTGCAACCCAACACCATCAATGTGCTGGCTGAGAAGCTCAAGGAATCCCAGAAGGACCTCTCGATCCCTTTGTCCATCAAGACCAGTGGTGGTGCTGGGAGCCCAGCTGTGGCCGTGCCCTCTCACTCTCAGCCTTCACCCACCCCCAGCAATGAGAGCACCGACACAGCTTCTGAGATTGGGAGCGCTTTCAACTCACCACTCCGGTCACCCATCCGTTCTGCCAACCCCACCCGCCCATCCAGCCCTGTCACCTCCCACATCTCCAAGGTGCTTTTTGGGGAGGACGATGGGTTGTTGCGAGTGGACTGTATGCGCTACAACCGGGCTGTGCGAGACTTGGGGCCTGTCATCAGCACTGGCCTTCTGCACCTCTCTGAGGATGGGGTGCTGTGCCCTCTCACCATCACAGGTGAGTGATGGGTTGGGAGATGGGGCCAACGGAAGCTAGACCTAATCAGTCAGTCAGTAGAATGCTTGGGAGGACTGCAGTCCTTGATGCCTGGGAAGTTTGCCCTGCTTTTAGCTATTTCTTGTGTGTGTGCTCCTCTTAGAAGGTGGGAAAGGCTCATCACCACCTGTCAGACAGAGCCAGACTGCCCAGATCAGTGTCACCCTCGAGGAGAAGGAGGCGCCGGAGCCAAGTGACAGAGAGAAGGCCGGGCTGAGCCGCCCCCCTGAGCAGCTGTGTGGGGAGAGGTATTCCCCCAAAGTGAGTGTCCAGTTGGGTCCTCCTTCCCTTTGCCTGAGGTTGTGGGAACCTGTCTCGGGGCCAGGCGAGTTTGCTATTTCCTCTTCTCTCCTGGTGCTGCTGGTGCCAGCAATGGCCATGCCTGGAATGGGTGGCAGGAGGTGGGACCAGGAGCCTTGTACCATGCCCTTCCTGGGGGTTTGGCAGCCACTTCACTAGAGCACTTGGTCTTGCCAGGAGCTGCTGGCACTGCTGAAGTGTGTGGAAGCTGAGATCGCAAACTATGAAGCCTGTCTCAAGGAGGAGGTGGAGAAGAGGAAAAAATTTAAGGTGAGCTGTTGGCACTGCACTTGTGGGGTGACTTCTGATGCTGTGAGTTTGCTTGCCAATCATCCTCTTCTATTTTCCCTCACAGATTGATGACCAGAGAAGAACCCACAACTACGATGAGTTCATCTGCACGTTTATTTCCATGCTGGCTCAGGAAGGTGAGGTGGGAGTGCCAACCCCTGGCAGAGGGTACAGGAGGTGAGGGCGGGGGGGAAGTTGTTAGTTATTGGGAGATGCTTCCACCTTTTGGAATGGAAATGAAGCCTCTTCTCTCAGGTTCAGGGACCCATGTCCCTGAAATCAGGTCTGCATCCTAACAAATACGTTTTTGATGTTATTCTAAAGTTTGTGCAGATTGTAGGGGACACAGGGTGGGCCTGTTTTCAGGCCCAGCTCTTGGGCTCCCTGTCCTGCATGGGCTTGAGAATCTCCTGGGACAGCTGACATCCTACATTAACATTTGTAGATGGGTCAGTGCTGTCAAACTCAAGTAGAAACAGGGGCCACCAAACCAGATGCATAAGGATTCCTGCAGGTGCATGTTGACTTAGTTTTAAAATGTAACATTATCTGTGATGTGTGTTTATTTATTTTGTTCAGTATTTGCCAATTACATTTTAATCTGGTTTGGGCCACACTGAGGAGTGTTGTGGGCCATCGTGTGTAGATAACTGCGTAGTGGGAGCTCAAGGTTGCCTGGCTGGCTGCAGGCTGCCCACTCAGGCTTGTGCCCTCTCCTAGGCATGCTGGCCAACCTTGTGGAACAGAACATCTCCGTGCGACGACGACAGGGTGTCAGCATTGGTCGGCTCCACAAACAGAGGAAGCCCGACAGACGGAAACGCTCCCGTCCTTACAAGGCCAAGAGGCAGTGAGGGACCTCCTGGCCCAGGGCTGGGCCTTCCACGTGCTCCCCTAATCATAGGGCGTTCTGAGGGCGAGGCAGCCATGAGCTGCCCCCACTTACTCTCCTCCCCTTGGACCCAGTATTACTGTACAGTTTGAAGTGGGAACATTGTTCCCCAGTGGACAGGCGAAGGTTCCCGTGTGTCAGTCGCACTACAGACCTCCTGCTGACCCGTTAGAAATAAGGGGGACTTCTTGGTCACGTGGCTCTCAGCCTCCCCTAAGCCCCTCCCTGTTGACCTGGGGATACTGAAGTCAGTTGGCCTGCCTGCAGCTTAAGTTCCCTTTCAGGGGTGGGCACTGGGCAGGTCAGCCAGAGATTGTCGTAAAGTCAGTGTAGGGACCACTCAGGAAGCAGCAGCTGGAGTCAGTGTAGTGGGAACTCTACCCGTGGGAACACTCCCTTTTCAAACCCCCTTTGTCATCTGAGCCCGCCCACAGCTGGCTGTGGATCATCCGCCCCAACGGGTACACGGACCCCATTGACAGCCAGGGCCCTGGCTCCCTGCCTCAGTGACAGCAGAATATATATTTTATATATCAGAAATGTCTATTTTTTTCTTGGTTCTGACTAATCTTGCCACCATTGTATTGAATACCACTGCCTCCTACACAGCAGCCTTCTGGACACAGCCTTGTCCAGACCTGGCTCTCCATCCCTTCCCCTGGCTTCTTCCTCATCCGTTTTTTGTATGTGTGTGTTCTCCCCTAAACCCTGCCGCGGGGAGCTGGAAGGCAGAGCTGGGACTTCAGGGTCACAACCACTTACCTCCTGGGTGTGTGACCAGGGCCAGAGGTGCTCTTGCCCGGGTTCCCCCATCCACCCCAGTCTCTGAGCCCCGCCCAGCACCACACAAGCACTCCCAGTGAGAGTCCCCAGCTGTCTCCTGGAGAGGTTGGGCTTGCACTTTTGCACATCTGCTGTTTGAACTCCAAACTCAGGAATCAGGGCTTGCTCAGGATCAGTATGAGGAGTAGGGCGGGTAGGGAGCAGCAGGACTCTCTGGGTTCATGGGAACACATAGAGAAGCTTTGTTATCCAATTGGGCTGAGCAGCTATGTGGCCTACAGAGTGGTTTTTTTAAAGTCCTAGCAGAGTGGAGATGTTTGCTTTTAGGTTCTTTTGATTCCTGTAAATTGTTCTTCCTTCCCTGGCATGGCCTGAAGAGGGAGCAGATAAGAGGATAAGAGGGCAGGTGCTGGGGTTTCGTGGATCCAGCTACTTTGTTCTGTAAAGGCCCTGGGCAGTAGCCCTGGAGCCTGTGGCTGCCTGCAGCTGGCTTTGGTTGGACAGGTTTGTGGGTTGGAGAGGCATTGCTCCCAAAACAAATGGTGCCAAGGTGCCCCAAAGCCTTTTGGGAGAATGTTTGTTTTCAAAGTGTTTGGTGGCTTTCCTAGCCTTGAGCTTGTTCTAATAGGATTGTGTGTGCGGGGCCGGGGGAGGCGTTCGCTTTCTATGGTGAGTGGGAACCTGCACTGGTTTCTGTGGAGATTCTGAGCGAGGTGCACCTTGCCCGCTAGTATTATGGAGATGCCCTCCCTCAGCTAAGTGGGCAGGGAGGGTAGGTGCAGCTGTCCCCCTGGGAGCAACCTTCCCCCCTTCCCCCCTTCCCCCCCCCGGGCTTCTGAACTGTGTGTAGGAATGTCCATCTGCTGCCTGGCTCCAGGATCTAGAGTGAAATTAGTTGGTGTCTATCAGCTTTTTGTGCTGCTGAGAGAGAAGGGATCGGGGAACTTTGTGTCGGGGTTATTCCTCTTTCCTTCCAGAGCTTAGGCCCTGGTGTAGGAGTGTAAAGTAGGGGAGGGCTGGCCTCCTGCCTGAGATGCTTCCATTTTGTGGGCATTTTCCACTTGGGCTTAAGCCATCCTGTGCCCCAAGAGGACTTAGAGGCAGAATTCTGTCAGACCATTTGGGGACCAGTCTCTGCCCTTTCTGCACACTCCAGAGTCTCTGTTTGCTTTCTCTTTGTGACCATAAGGTAGCTATTGCTACTCCTACCTTGCCCCTTCCCACCCCTGCCCCTTGCTGTTTCCCTCCCTAAGGGCCCTTGGGAGAAAGTGGAGGTCCCTTCTTTATATACCACAATTGCTGTTTAAGTTGTGGTGGGGCAGATGAATTTGTTCTCCTTCTGCTTGCACTGAATTTCAGAAGAGACAGGAATCAACTTGAAGTAAAATATAGGTGTCTTGGGGAAGGCTGAACTGAAGCTATTGTACATAAGAGACTTGGACAGGCTGGGGCTCGGGCCACCCCTGGCCCTTTGCCTGTGTATCCTTGTAAATACCAGACTTGCCTGAATGAATAAAGTTTTCCTGTAACTTATGTGCTCTGTGTTGACTGGCTAGATGTTTGCTGAATAAAGAACCGTGTACTGTGCTGTGCAAGCATTTTCTCTGCTCTGGGCACTATCTGTGGTACCAGGACTCAGGCAGCATATATACAGTGGTATAAAGAGTGGCAGAGCGTTGGACTGCAAGTTGGGGGATCTGGGTCCTCATCTTGGCTCTACCGCTAATTTGTTGTGTGACCTTGGGCAAGCCCCATCATCTCTGGGCCTTCACTTCCTTTTTCTGGTAAGATGAGGTCCTTTCCAGTTCTAGCATTTCAGGGTTCCATTTGGAAAAAGTCTTGGTGCCAATGTGCCCCATTGTAAAGCTATTAATTAGCTTTGCTCTTTCTGACCTCTCTTACTTCCTGCAGACTAACATGCTAGGTAGAAGACTTCTAACAGTATACCTGGAGGGAAGGGAGAGAAGGGGGTTTTCTGCTGAGCCAGCAATGGTCCAGAGCTCTTGGTAAGGCTTGGCTCAAGAGGGACTGGCCCCCACTCTGTAACCTCTGTTCTGACTGGCAAAGAGACCCAGAACAGGATGGAGTATGAATAGGCAGACAACATAAAAAAAAAAAAAATTTATTCCCTCTGTGGGCCACAGGCTCCTTACTGCTCCAGAATGCAGCTCTGGGCTCTCCTGAGTAAGGGGCAACTGGTAGAGCCAGCTCTGGGGGACTGCAGCCTTGGCCTGGGCTAAGAGCCTAGGTGGAGACCTGCTTGGCCCTCATGGGCCTAATAGTCTAGAGCACAGATGAGGGCTACACCTCGCTTGATCCAGTGTCTCTGACTCTTGTCAGTGGGGATCTCCACAGCTATGATGTAGTTGGTGGAATGGCCAGTGGTGGACAGCGTACCTGGAACAAACACCAATGAAAGCAGGGTGTTGTTCCAAGGCGCCTAGGGCTTAGACTTCCTCGTCAACCCTGGCTCCTGTGAGGGAGGAGATTCGTAGGCCACCCAGGATCAACACTTAGCTGCTGCTGCTGTAGTGCTAAGGTCCTGAGGATAAAGGCTTGGATCCCAGAACCGCTGCTTGCTTACTTAGGTTAACCTAAGGCAGATGGGTTCCCTTTTCTGGGCTTTGGTGGCCTCACCTATAGAATCAGGGGACTGGACAAGACCCCAAAGGGTCCCGCCTTTCAACCACAAAATTCTATGATCCCTGAAGTCTCAGGTGCTTCATCCACAATAATAATAATAGCTAACATTTGTATGGATGGATGTATAGATGGTATAAAGATTGCTAAATCTTTATACCATCTCCCTCCAAGGATAATTGTATGCAAGGCACTTTTGCAAGCCTTAAAGCACCATAAGCACTACCGTTTAGGAATGTGAACTAAGAAAGTTCAAGATGACGGTATAAGCTTTTGCACCAGACACAGGGCTCATGATGCATTCCCCACCTGACAGGCTTGTCCTAATCACTGCCAAGGTCTCTGAGCCTTGGGGAGAGTCTTGCAAATAACTTGTTTTAGGGACTGTGGGAGATCCAGGTCCTGGTCCCACAAAACCCAGAGACATGTTCCAAACACTTGGCACAGAAGAGGAGGCAGGGATGCTTTAGTGGAGAAGCCAAGAGGGTATTCTCTCCCCTGGTCTCTTCCCCTCCCCACCCCCATAACACACACACACTTCATTTTGTGAGATGGGTGGGGAAGGGAAGATAAGTACTTACCAGCTCGAGTCAGAGTCTTGTAAATGGGGCATACATAGAAGCCTCTAGTTGGGGCTTTGCGGTTGGGCATAGGGACCAGCCAGATGACAGCCATCTCTGTGTAGAGTTCCTTGGGCCGAGACTCGGCCAAGAAGAACCTATCAGGGTCCCAGCGTGCCCCCTCCAGGAACAGGCCGTGGATGAAGCAGCCCACTTCTGGCCTTATGGTCAGCTCACTCAGTGGCTTCCCTATTACCTAGGGGATGGAGGAGAGATCAATGGAGTGAGGTGAGGTGATAGGATGTTGTCTAAATGGCATCCTGGAACAGAATAGAGAGCCCAGGGAGAGCCTTGCAGTAAGCCCCCAGCTAGATTGAGGGAGGTGAATTTGGCTGTCATGCTGAGAACTCTGTCTCTGAGATTTTGTGAGTACCTCTTGTAGACACCTCATGGCTTCCATAGCCTGGGCTGATGATTTTGGGAGTGGCTGTTGCCTGACAGGACTAGCGAAAAGCTGAGGCTAAGAAGGCAGAATAGTGCTTCACATGTTCTTCTCCCACCCATCCTCTAGCGGGCTTTGCTTTATTCCTTCAATGCTTGCCAGTCTCCTGATTCCTCAGTAGTATCTAAGTGCTATACCCTACCCCTTAACCCTCTTGCTTTTCTTCTGATCCACTTGGTTCTATGTGAAAAAGGGACCCTTTTAGAAATGGGGTACTGGGAGAACATCTTTGCAGAATGAATGTTCCTTTGATAAAGGTCTCATTTCCAAGACATAAAAAATTTATGCAAATAAGAACCCTTCTTCAGTTGATTAAATGGTCAAAGGATATGAATAGGCAATTTTCAGAGGAAGAAATCCAAACTGTTGATAGCCATATGGAAAAATGTTCTAGGTCACTAATAATTAGAGAAATTCAAATTAAAAACAACTCTGAGGTTTCACCTCATACCCAACAAAAGTGAGTCAATGTTAACAAAAAAGAAATATGACAAATGGAGGAGACTTGGGAAAACAGGCACATTAATACACTCTTGATAAAGCTGTGCATTAGTCCAGCCTTTGTGGAAAGCAATTTGGAACTATGCCCCAACAGTTAGTAAACCGTACATATCCTTTGATTCATACCATTCTCCAAAGAGATCAAAGAAAGAAAAAAAAGAAGAAACTAGAGAAAGAAGAAAAACATAGCAGTTCTTTCTGTGGTAGCAAAGAATTAGAACCTAAGGTGGGGGCTGCCCCTCAATTGAGGAATGCCTGAATAAAACATGGTATGTGAATGCTAATAGAATACTATTGTGATAAAAGAAATGACAAAAGAGAGTTTCAAAGAAAACTGAGATGAATTGTGTGAACTGATCCACAGTGAAAGTGAACAGATCAAAACGTTATACTTCATAGGGTAACAGCATTTTAAGGATAAGCATTTTGAAAGACTTAAAAAACTGATCAACAAAATTACCAACCATGATTCCGATGATGAAGCATGCTGCCCCCCTCATGAAAGAGGTGGTAAACTGTGAGACTTATTTTTGGACGTAGCTAATTGGAGAACTTGTTTTGCTCACTAACCTTGAATTCGAAGGAGATGGTATCAATGGAGATGACACGCTTTCTGGCGTAGTTCTGCAAAGTCCCCGTCAGGAAGGCTTGTGGGAAGAAGAAGCCACTGATCCAGAAAACAGGTGGGATCCCATTCTGGATCCACCTCTTCACAAAGTCAATCCGCTGCAGCAGGTCCATGACCCAAGAAGACAGAGGCTTGAGTGAAGGATAGGCTTTGCCCTTCCAGATCTCTGGTACAGCATTGTTGTATAGGCTGGTGGACATAAGCTCCAACTGTGAGGACATCACCACCAGTCCCTTCAATGCCTTGAGCACGTCCTTGAGAGATCCCGTGATCACGACCAGTAGCTTGTTGTATCTGAAGGGTAGATCAGAGGGAAGGGTTTCCTGTAGCCTTTGGACCCAGAAGGGGCCATGCCCTCCCCAACTGCATACAGTAAGGCCTTCTTTTTGTAGTAGCAGGTCTGGATCATGGAGACTCATTTATCTTCCTCATGGAGACTTACAAGGGGTCAGGTAGATGGCGCAGCGTATAGAGCACCAGCCCTGGCGTCAGGAGGACCTGAGTTCAAATATGGCCTCAGGCAAATCACTTAACCCCAATTGCCTTTAAAAAAAAAAAAAAGAGCCTTACAAGACAGATGGGCCATGGGTACAACAATGCTGCCTGGGCCACACAGGTGGCTCACGGGCTTGCTCAGCCCCAGCAGGTCCGGAAACAACCTGCATCTGTCTGGAATTTAGGTTAGTCTTTGGTAGCCAAGAGAGGTTTTCTTATGGATCTCAGCAGGATCAGACTAACCTCAGTTGAAGGAGGTTCTGATCTAATGACTATTTTATTAAGTAATTTCAGACAAGGTTGAAGTTGCCTTGAGTTTCTTCCAGTATGCTTAAAAATCCGAACATAACTTAATTTGTATGTGGAATTTAGACCGTCATGGATTTTTCAGAAGATCCAGAAGGGAACTTAGAGATCATCAAGTACAATGCCTTCATTTTACAGATGGGGAAACCGAGGCAAGGGAATTAACCAAAACCAGGCTGCCATGCAGGTCTAGATGCCAGTCTGGTCTAGACACCCACTCCTTCCACCACAGGCCCTTCCCCTGTTCTCCATTGCACCCTCTCCCACGCTGCCTATTTCTGAGGTGGTGAGCAGGGGCATGGAGCCAGCTTCAGGAACAACTATCTTCCCACAGCATAAAGAAAGCATGGCCCAGGTTCTCAGGAGTGCCTGAGAGGGGTCACGTTTCCCTCCCCCCTTTCCTTTCTCCTCTCCTTCCATCCTTCCTTCCCTCCTCCCTCCCTCCTTCCCCTCTCCTGTCTGGGAGAGCTGGGCAGTTACCTGATCACTTCCTGCACAAGGACCGTGTTCATGGATTCTTCGTAGAGCACAGGGTATTTTACCATCACTTGGTGCACGTCGATGGGATCTGGGATCTTCAGCAGGATGCTCCCAGCAACATCCTCCACAATCTAGGGGTCCACCCACAGAGGATGAGCGAGGCTGGACCACAGCACAGCTGCAGCTCACCAAGCCCCTGGCTGCAGGTTCCAGGACAACAGCCCTCAGGCTCCCTCTGCCCTTATTTCCACCTGCTCCATTGGGAAGAAAATCTACCCTGATGGGGTACAGAGGGGCACCAGACTCATAGAACATGGGAGCTGGATGGGCTCTTGGAGACCTTCTCAGCCAGCTCCTTCATGGTACCCAGAAGGAAACTGAGGCCCAGGACCAGGAATTTTGTTTGTGAAATCTGACATCCAAAGCAGCTCACGACAGCCACCTAAATCCTTAGTGATCAAGGCCCCATGTGGGTTATTGGGTGCCAAATGGTAGAGGGAGTTTTTTTCTCCCAGAAGTTTATTTATTTATGAACAAATAAATTTATGACATCACAAGTACAGTCTCTATCTCTAAAAATAAAGGGCTCAATATGCAAATGAAAGTTACCCAGTTCCTATTACAAAGGGAACCTTTCAATGAAACATTTCCCTATTGAGCGTGATGGATAGAAATTCAACCCCAAATACCTTCCTCCATGCCCCCACCCCTGGAACATAGTACTGTCTCTTCTCATACGCTGCCCAGACTGGCCGAGTTTTCCACGGAGCGTGGGGGTGGAAGTGGGAATGGGACTGAAAGGAGAGCCTCTGACCTCTTCTCTGCTCAGGCCGCCTGTGGAGGCCGATTTGGGCTGCAGCTGAATGATGGCGTTGAGGAGGGCAAAGGTCTCGTTCTGCGCAAAGGTGATGTTGGCGTTGTCGTGCAGGCCAAAGATTTCGGGGATGTCATTGAGCGGAAGGCTCTTGATGTATTGCAGGTAGCCCTGTAGGAGGCGGCTCAGAGTGAGAGAGCCTGGGGGCAGGCCCACTGGATCCTGAGCTGGACAAGCACCGCACTGAGCCTGAAACCCCCCAGGGCTGCTGCTGGCTGGAATCTTTCCTCTGTTAATCAGATCCTGACCTTGGGGAAAGCAGGCACCGGAGACCTGGATCGACGGCGACATTCTCGGGGGTGTGGAGCAAGCTGCAGTCCCACCCTCTGCCTGCCTGTGCCCAGCCCCACCTCCATGCCAGGCCCAGGTCTGTTCCATCTGTCTCTCCCAGACCAGAAGCCAGAACGTCCTTTTTTTGACTTCCTAATGGTACAGCCGAGCCTAGGGCTGGGCATAAAGGGGGAAGGAAGCCTTGTTACTGGACTGGGACCCAGCCGAGGGTCACGGTCAGACGGAGAGGAAGCTCCTCCATCCGAGAGCAGGGGAGATCCCTCTTTGGGAAGAGGAACCTGAGTATTGGGAGGGTCACACGGGGGCCCGAGATGCTTCCACACAGTCAAGGACTGTTAGGTTGGGATGGGTGGACCAGAACCCACATGTTGCCTCTCTCTGAACTGGAGAAGAACCTTTACCATTCAGCTGTGACTGTGACTGAAGGCAAGCTATGTTTGCTCACAGCTGGTCCCACAGCAAGTGGCAGGCATCCTGGGCCCCAGAGCCTGTCCCCAGGGCTAGCTCTGTCCTCTGTGGTCCTGGAGGAGCCTGGGGAGGGCTCCAGGGCCCCTGTACAACAAGCTTCTCTCCTTGCCCTTCCATCCCTGCATGTACAGCCTCTTTCCATGGGAGGAGTCTGATGTTCCCATGCCAAGTGCGTTACCAGGATGAGGGTGGGGGTGATGCTTACATTGATATCATAGGTGGGGTTGATCTGGTGGTATATGCCAGATTCAGAGTAGACGTGCTCGGGCTCCAGGACCGCGGGGTTGTAGAAGTCTTCTAGGATGTTCATGATGCAGCGACGGTCCCAGTCGTCAGTCACGCGGCCCCCATAGTTGATCTCGCCTGCTGTGTACTTGAGGACCTGTTCTGACCCCCCGGGGTCAAGATGAGGACCGAGGAAGGCCTCACCCCCAGCCTGTCCTGCCCCCCAGCCCGGAGCAATAAGAAGCCTCTCAGAGCTGGGATCCTTCTGCCTAGCTGGAGCGTTACCTTCCAGGGGCTAACGAACTGAACCCTGCTAGGACTCTAGGGAGGCGACGAAGATGGCACGATGGGCCAGGGCTGACCTGCATCCCCCTTCAGGGGCACAGCCAGGGAGGTCCATGGGGCCTGAGCAAATGCCAGCCCACCACTTCCATCATCACCCTCAGCCAGGCTCAAATAAGGTACCATTTATATTTTGCTCCATGGCTGAGCGAGGTAGGGGGATGGGAATAAGCATTTATAAAGCACCTACCATCTGCCAAGCCCTGTATTAAGCACTTTACAAATCTTATCTCATTTGGTCCTCACAACAACCCTGGAGAGGTAGGCACTATTATTAGCCCCATTTTACAGTTGAGGAAACTGAAGCAAACAGGTTAAGTGACTTGCCCAGGGCCACACAACTAGTATTTTAACTCTGATCTATCTGACTCCAGGTCTAGTGCTCTATCCACTGGGCTACCTAGCCTTCATCCCAGAAAGCCATGACAGAAGAGAGCTTAGCATAGTCACTAGAATCCTCTGGGCTGGAAGGAGGTATGGGTGTGGGGTTCTTCCCACCCTCTGGAGTCCTGGCATGGTCCAGGATCCCCCTCAATCTAGATGGCGAGGGTGGCAAGTACAGGGCAGCAATCCTAAGCTCACTCCCAAATACTGCCTAGGGTTTCTGCTCCCACCTCACCTTGTAGGGGATTTCCTCATACTCATCCAGGAACATTTTCAGCTGGCTGGTGCAGATACGCAGGTCTCCATCCGTGAACTCATAGGGAATGTTGAAGCCCAGAGGCCCAAACTTCCTCCGCTCCAATGCATTCCCATGGAATAGGCACAGTGAAAGAAGCAGACACTTGAACTCAGACTGCTACTTGTTACAGAAGAGGAAGCCAGGGAGGGGAACAGAAGGAAGGAGTAAGCCCTTCAAGGACAGTGACCTCTGGGAGCCCTAGCTTGGAAGGCTCGCATTCTCAAAAGTCACAGAACTCCAGAGCCAGAAAGGGCCTGGAGGGATCACTCAGTATAATCTCATTTTATGGGGGGGGGCGCATAAACTGAGGCCCAGGAAGGAAGGAGGCCTGTCCAAGTTCAAAGCAAGTCAGAGGAAGAGCCAGGACAAGAAGGCAGAACTGTCCCATGGCTCCCGGCCTGATTCCTAATTGCAGGGCTATCTTCTCCATCCCTTACTAAGAAATCACTTGCCCTCCATCCCTGAAGCAGCAGCTTAGACTGAGGGACAGAATCAGCTGTGACCTCACCTTGTGGCAGGAGTTCAAGAAGTCATCGTTGAGGCTACTGTATGACTTTAGGAGGTTGGCCTTCACCCCCCGAGGGGGCTCAATGGTCATCTTGGAGCCATTCTGGAGGATGGACACTGGGAACTTGTTACTAGGTAAGCTGGTGAGCCAAAGACGAAAGTCCCGGTGTACCTGTGCCCACACAAGTGAAATGACTTCTGAAAATGGACTGTCTTCTAGGCCCTCAAGGACAAGGCTGAGAGCAGCTACCCAAACCTCTCCCCCTCTTTCCAGGGCCTGACTCTCTTGCCCCAGCCTAGGCTGTGGGTCAAGGGCATTCTAGGGCTCACCTTGTCAGGGTTGATATGCTCAATGAGTCTCTCCAGGGATGGCATCCAGCTGGGGGCCAGGTGGCAGTTCTGAAAGAAGACCCACTTGCCTCTCTCCATGGAGCTCTGCATCATGGCCTCGGCTACAGGACCCTTGGAGAGGAGGTGCCCAGAGTTGTGTTCAGCAGCCCCATCGAGCCCTCTCTGCCCTTCCCCGCCACCCCAGCTCAGCCTTGGGGCCCGACCTCACATCACAAAGGAACAGAGGGCTGAGGAGCACAGGTAGTGACTGCCTAGACTTGGCAAGTACCTGTCCCTGACCCAGGGAAATGGCTGTGAGCTTCTTGGAGAACTTCATCTCCTCAGCAAACTTGTAGAGGTCAGCAGCTGGGTCTGTCCCCGGGGACAACACAAATATCAGTGGGGTGGTGGAATTCGAATCTTTGAACACGGCAAAGAGGTTGGCTGTCTGTAAACCAAGGCAACAGTTGACCCCAGAGGCTGAGCAGGAGGTGTTCCAGGCTGTCTCTAGGGACTCCACTTGCCTAGAGGTCCCTCTCTAACAGGGTTCAGGGGGCCCAGGACAGCTGGCCTGGGATGGAAAGTGGCCTGGATGCTGCTGCTGTGACATCTCCAAGCAGCTCTGCCTCTTAGGGCCTCTCACCCTGACTCTGATGGCTCTGCCAGCCTGAAATTGAGCTCCTGGGGTTGGAAGGAGGGAAGAGAGGCATCTGGGATGGTTTAGTAGGAGGACCTGGGCTCCAGGCCTTACTGGGTGCCCTCAGCTGGCGATCATAGACTAGGTCAGTCCTTCAAGTAAGAAAGAAGCCTCATTCAAGGCTCAGAGCCCAGAGGGGAATGTGGGGAGGAGACACCTGGGGCAGAGGTGTTTGGGCAGGCAGGGAGGTGGGAAAGTCTGCCTGACCCTGCAGCCTACCTGCGGCTCAATGAAGCGTGGCTCCAGGTTGATGGCCACAAAGTCCTGCATGGCATTAGTGACCTTGTCACCTCGGAGGCAACGCAGAATCAGCAGCTTCTGGAACTGGTCTAAACGCTCTTCCCACATGCCTGGCAGGGGCTCCCTGAAAACAAGAGACACCATCCACTGTCTTCATGGGGCAGCCCCACAGGCCTTGGGCCCTCAATGCAAAAAACCCAAGAGGGGCAGCATGTGGTCAGGCAGAGAGGGCCTCCACTGGAGGAGCCAGCCTGCTCAGTGACTTGCTGTGTAACCTTGGGCAAGTCACTGTGCTTCTATGCCTCAGTTTCTCCATCTGTCAAAAAGGCAGAAGAACCATTGTGTTGCCTCTCTCCCAGGTTGCTGTGAGGATTAAAGAACGGATAGGAAAGTGCTTTGGGGAGTCTGAAATACCAAGGCTGATTGACGTGGCCCTGGGCTGGCAGAACTGCCACATGGCTGTGTGCTGAATGTATTCTCTGAGTATGTCCATGGCTGGGAGGATTCGGGCTGGGATGGGATAGGGCGTGGTTCTCTCTCCCCCAAGGTACTAGGTGATACCAAAGGGAGCCCAGAAACCACCCCAAGTGGTATGCTGTGAGACGTACAGTTCCTTCTTTCCTGAGAGAAGCCTTTTGAGGCCCAGAGGCACAGGGCCTGCAGGACTTAGTCATGAGTTCTCAGTTCCCTGAGCTCCCTGGCACAGCCAGCCTGCAGAGGAGTGGCCGGCCTGGTGCCAGGAGAAGGCCTGGGCTCAGGCCTGGCTGCTTGGTGTTGCTTACCGGTGGGGCTCGACGCTGTCAAAGATCCTACGAAAGTCATCTATGTGAACGACAAAGTCCTTTGCTAAGGCGGAGAAGTTGTGAAGGTTGGTGAGGGCCAGTATGTCCCGCCATGCCCTGTCTGAGAGCCAGTCCACTGCTGGGTTCTCAATGACATCCCGGATGGAGCCCCCTGAGAGGAGATAATGCCACTCCCCCTGCGGGTGAGAGCAAGCTGGCATCAGAGGCCCACTGCTCAACACCTCCGTCTTCCTGCCCTCGCAGGCCTCTAGCACTCTCGGAGCAGTCTGCTAACCAGTGTCCCTTACTCCTGGAAGTTCCTCCAGTAAGATTTAGGATCATAGTAAACAGAGCTAAAGAGAGCCTTAACGTCAGTCCCGTCCTTTTACAAAGGAAAAGCATGAAACCTGGGAGAGGAGATAGGAATTTTCCAAGGTCACCTAAATGGAGGGGAAGGGCAAGGTTCTGAACGCAGGTCTTTTGTCGCCAAGTTCAGGAGTCTCTCACTTTACCGCATGGCCCCTTGAGTCCCCTTTCTCTCCAATACATTCTGTACAGCGAATCTGTCAGCATTCAAGGTCCTCTATGCCTTGTCCTCAGCCTCCCATATTGGTACAGACAAAAATCATACTTTCCCCGCAGATTTGGTTCGTATAATAATTGAGTGCAGCCATTATGACACTATTTTGTATTGCTTACACTTCAGCAGTGGCTTAGTGTAGTGAGGGCCAAGTCACCTCTGGTCTGATTTTTTACAGCAGCAAGTTAACAACAGTGCTTACATTTTAAAATACAACTTCATTGTGGCAGCTAGGTGGCCCAGCGGATAGAGCACCAGCCCTGAAGTCAGGAGGACCTGAGTTCAAATCCAGCCTCAGACCAAACATTTGATACTTACTAGCTGTGTGACCCTGGGCAAGTCACTTAACCCCAATTGCCAAAAAAAAATACAACTGCATTTAAACACAACTAAGAAAGAACCAAGAATGGCTTTTTCTACCTTAAGATATAACTTTAAGTACCACTTTATTTAAAATAAATCTCTTTCTCAGCTGTACTTAAAGTTGTATTTAAAAACGTAAAAACAATTCTTAGCTTGGGGGCCAAACCAAAACAGACAAGGGGCCGGATTTGTCCCTGAGGCCCTAATTTGCCAATCCATGGAGTGGTGCACAGAGAACAAGCCTGGGAATCAGGAAGCTGGGCTTGAATTCATGCCCCTGTCACTAACAGGCTGTGTGGCCATGGGCAAACCCACTCAAACTTGCCACATCCAAAGCAGGTGAGTCTGAGGCAGACATGCTGGTCTGCATCAGGGGAGTGGGATTTCCCCACTAGAAATTCTCTACACTAATGTAATCACAGTTCTGGACTAGATCAGACCTGAGTATTTTTCAGAATATATTTATCAGGGAGAAACAGTTGTGTGCAGTGGATAAAGAGCTGGTGTTGGCCACAGGAAGACCTGAGTTGAAGTCTTGTCTCTGACAGTACTCTTTGTGGCCCTGGGCAAGTCACTTAACTAAGAGTATGCCCAGCCATTCTCCAGACCAGGGCTTCTTAAACATTTTCCACTCCTGACCCCCCTTTCTGTTTCGGCAGCATTTGTTGGTGTTTGCATGGCCTGAGGGGATGTGCGATGTAAAATGTGCGCGCTTTGTGTTCAGAACCAAGGCTGCAGTGAAGTTACACAGTGCAGCATGGGCAAGGGCTGCCAGAAACACCTTAGATTCATTACACGTTGGATTTTTAATTAATTTTTGGTCATTGCACATTCAGAAACCATTTACCGTTGCCCAATTTTTTGTGACCCCCTAAGAGGTCGTGAGCCACAGTTGAAGAAGCGCTGTGTCTAGACCGCTCTTTAGGACTGCAGAGTGCAGAGCCGCCAACATCAGTGAAATTACAGGGGCATCCCCATCCTTACCCTCATCTCTTTCATTTTTCAAAGATACTAAATAGCACTTAATTCACATACCGGGTAGTCTGTATCAGCTCTTCATGTCTGCCTCCCCAGCTAAACTATAAACTCCTTGGACCAGGGACTGGGCTTTCAGGTTACAGGAATGAGAGTTAACAGGGATCTGAGATGGCAGGCCTCACAGGCCATCTCCATTCTACTTTGGTTGCCCACAGGGACTGTCACTCCCTTGGTCTTGTCATTGCCCACAAGTGGTCCACTTCAATAATCATTATTAGATTTTCGTGGCCACAGCTGAACTCCCAGGGCCTTTAGCTGACCCAGAAGGCTGGGGTGACAGATGGGAAGAAGGAGGTCAGGGGAGGAGAGAGGTGAGAACGGAAAACGAGGGTGTGAGGGTGCCAGGCTGGTCCCTGACTGATCCCTTACTCACTGGGTCAATCTTCCCTTCATGCATCATGATCCGTACACACAGGAGAAAGGCAAACATGAGCTTGTGTTTCTCAAAGAGGCTGCGGCAGACATTACTGTAGAGGCTGAAGGTCAAGTACTTGTTGATGTTTGCAATCCGCTTCTTCAGGGTGTCTGCACAGGATCCACCCCAGGAGGGGTGAGTACCAGCGAACCGCAATTCACCCCTTGCCCCAGGCCCCTCGTCAGGCCAAGCCAGCACCCCCACCTCCTTCACCCCTACATCCAGCCTCCCCAGTATCTGTTGGACCAGAGTGATGAGGGTAGGACCCAGTAGGACTCTCCCAAGGTAGGCAAGGAACTAAACACCAGGGTGTTCATGAGTTACCTGAGGGCAGATGCAGGTACTCATTAAGAAGCCCAGGCATCCCCATTCCACCTCCTCAAGGGCAGGGGAGGGAGAGGGTCAGGGAACCAGGGCCTCCCACCTGATCTCAAGAGTTTCAGGTGAGCTCTGAAGCTCAGGAGAACAGCCAGGAAGCAGAGTCCAGGAGGTACCTGCCCTCTCCGAGTTGGAGATGCCAGAGAGGAAGATGTTGAGGAACCACTCCAGGGAGTACTGGTACATGGGGTCCACATTGGAAAGGTCAGATACACAGAAGAAGAGGATCTGAGTGCGGACAGCCACTGGGACATATTCCATGCGGGTAAGGTCAATGTCCTTCTCTGTCTGCTCGGCAATCCTCACCTTGGCCTGGCCCAGGCAAAGGAAGAAAGGATGAGCTCAGAACTGACTCCAGAACTCATATCTATGGCAGCTGAGGGAGGGGACAGAGAAGGAGAATGGGCATAGACACCAACCTGGATTTCCCCAGCCTTCATCTTGGAGGCTTCCAGAACCTTTATGAGTTCCTTGTCATCAACAGGGTTCCCCTCCGAGGAGCTAAGCCGGTAGAGGATCTGGTCCTCAATGTCCTTCAGCTCCTTCCTCATCTTTGCGTTGCTGACAATCAACTGGTTCTTGGCATCCTCTAGGTCAGGCCGTTCCTCAGCCACCACCTGGCCCAGAAGCTGATCCTCCAGGCCACTGTGGGGAAGAGCCAGAGTTGTGAGAGTGGGTCTTTCTTCACCCCTGCCAGTCAAGGCCTGGATCATGACAAACCTCATCAGAGGCCCATCTGTCTGATGGGCCCTAAATAACTTCTAATCAAATGACTGGTCCTTTCTACTACTTAATGTGTGCCCAGTCTGGGCCAGCGCTGCAGGAGCCCAGGAGAATAAGGAATAGTTTCTGCACTTGGGGGACCCAGGCCCCTAGCTAGGGGAACAAGGCCTACTCACCTGAAACAGTAACTGACAATATAAGTGGTGCACTCATGACTGTTGGGCCCTATGCCTCAGATCCTAAAGGCAATGGGCACTTTAAGGAGAGGGAAGTCAGTGAAGACTGAGATGGCCAGGGAAGCCTTCCTAGTGGATGTGGCTCTTGGTCTGGGCTATGGAAAATGAGGGGGTTGGGACTAGTCAGAAAGGAGAGAAGAGGGTATCCCTGATGAGAGAAGCAGAGGCAAAGTGCCAGGGCTGGACTGAACATAGCATGTACCTGAAGCACTGATGATTTTGGTCTGGCTGTTACATGCTACAAAGTAGTGGGGCATAAGGTTGGCAAGGTGGGGATAGCCTTGAATGCTAAGCTAAGGTGTTTGAATGTCATCCTGGCGACAGTCAGTCACTGCCGATATCTGAGAAGACAGACGTGATGGAGTGGAGTGGGGAGGGCCTCCACAGCAGTAAGAAGGGGGTGAGGGCCTAAGGTAATATTAAAAGTAACAGTTGGCATCTAGAGAGAACTTGATGGTTTACCTCCCTGGGACAGCACATGCTAAGGGAGAGGGCCTGCTGAGCCTGATGAAGCAAGGATTACTGGGTGACAGCCTGCTTGGCAATAGTGATGAGAGACAAGGCAGGGGAAGCATCTCCCACGGTGGGGCACACCCACCCATGGAGCACGTTGAGCAGCGCTTTTCATACTTTTTATAAATGCAGGAATTTTAACACACATGCACATACATGCACACACACACAAAGGGGGGCTGGATTTCCTGGTAAATCAGGCTGATCATATAGGAGAGAAAGCACAAAGCTTCCCCCATGGGGCAGAAACCCTGCGGAGGCATAATTTCCAAACCTGACAGAAGGGACCCACACACCCTGTTCGGGCTCTGCCCTGGGGGATGCAGGGTAGCTGGGATCAGAAGCCAGACACTGGCACACTGAGCACCCAGGCCCGAGGACGGTGCCCAGGAGAAAGAAAGGAAGCAAGCTGGAGGTGGCTATTTGGGGGAGACTCAGGGAGAGGATTGGCCCTGGATGGTTTCTCCCTCCGTAGCTCCATGAGATGAAGGCTCCATAGGCCTGCCGCTGCTCACCTGGGCGAGAGGGTGAAATTGATGAGCGTGAGCTTGGTAGAGATCTCAGGCGTGTAGTGGGGATTGGGCAACTTGGTGGTGATGTACATCCTGAAGTCTTCATGGTAAGGGATGACGCTGTCCCCAAGCTTCAGAACAACATTGCCCTGCTGCTTGTATGTCTGAGACAGAAAAGGGGTGGGGGAGAGAGAGGACTAATTAGACCAGGGAGGGAAGCTTAGCTCAGTGGGAGGCAGACTGTCTCATGGAGGTTCATTCCTGGCTGAGGGCAGGGTTCTGGGATTCTGTGGTGTGAGCAGAGGCGAAAGGTCATTACAAGAAGCACTCTCAAACCAGGCCCCCCCCTCCTACATACACACACACACACACACACACACACACACACACACAAAGTTATACTATTATTAGTTATGCTAGAAGTTATACTACTATTCATTTCTTAGGGTATTAAAAGGCTTTTTGTCAAGAGTCTTCTTTTAAGACAAAACCCTGCCCTAGGGAGCCTAGGCCCTTAAGCTACCTACCCCCAGGTCTGCACCTGATCCTTCCTTCTGCCTCCCCCGCCCCCCTCCCCAGGACACAGCTGCTCAGATTTCACCTTCTGCCGGAGCGTCCCAGTCCCTCCAGCTCCTGGTGCCTTCCTCTCCCCGATTACCTCTGTGTACCATGGGACTTGCATGCTGTCTCTCCCGTTAGACTAGAAGTCCCTTGTGGGCAGGGCCTGTTTTTTGCCTTTCCTTGCACCAGAAGTGCTGAGCACGTGGTGAGGGCTTCTGAACTAGCCAGCCTGCCTGACGGAGAACAGGGAGCCACCATGATACCTGCTTCAGGAGCACGGGTTCCAGAGCTGGGTCAAGCTCTTCCCCAACATTTTCCAACAGACACGGCTTCCCAAAACGGATGGCATTTTCCATGCTGCGCAGGAAGTCCCGGTCACTCAGCTTAAATACATCCAAACCATTATCCTTCTCCTGAGACACAAGAGGGGAGGTCAAGCCAAAGAACAGCCTTGAATCCAACTGTGGCATGGCGGGGAAGCACCTGCCTGGGGAGAGCAGCCCTCTCTCCTCTGGCTTTGCCTCTCGGATACAGGAGAATTCAATCCAGCAAATGTTTATCAAGCTCCAATGTGAGAGGCACACAAGAGGGCTCACAGGCTCGGCTCAGCCTGCTCTCCTTCCCCCATCCCAACCTGGCCGGGGCAAGAAGAGGGGCATGGTGAGGGGAGAAGAGGCTCCCCTCTCTAGATGCTAAGGGCTGCAAAGACTTCTGGGGAGAAAGAAAGGAGGAGGCCCAAAGCCACCCGCACAAGACAACTATGCGCAATTTGAATCATATCAATATAAGGAAGAGGGCCAGCATATAGAGTGCTGGCCTCAAGGACAGGAAGTCCTGGGTTCAAGTCCTGCCTCGAAGCTGTGTGACCCGGAGCAAGTCACTTCACCTCAGGGCTCTAGGTAACTTCCCAAGACTAGAAGTGGTAGAGAAGGTGCTGACCTGCATTGGTGGAGGGAGTTTCCTCACCTGGGAATTCCCTTTGCCACTGAAATCACTGTCCCTATCCCTACATACAGGAGATGAAAAAAGCTGGTCCCTGCCTTTGAAGAGCTTACAATCTAATGCTGGGACAAGCTGTGTAGTTAAGGAGCCTGAGGTAAGGACCAATGGGACGTCTAGACAAATGTGAGAGGGTTACTAATGCTCTCAATCACTAATCATTAGAGAAATGATAATTAGAACCACTCCAAGATACCACCTCATATCCATCAGATTGGCAAAATTCAGAAAAAGGAAAATGACAAATGTTGGAGGGGCTTTGGGGAGATAGGTACATTAACACATGGTTGGCAGAATTGTGAACTGGTCCAGCCATTCTGGAAAGCAATCTAGAAGAATGTCTAAAAAGCCTTTAAACTGTGCATACTCTTTGACCCAGTGACCTCACTACTAGGTTTATACCCCAAAGAGATTAAAGGAGGAGAAAAAGGGCCCATATGCACAAAAGTATTTATAGCAACTTTTTTCATGGTGGCAAAGAATTGGAAACTAAAGGGATGCCCACCAACTGCAGAACAGCTGAACAAGTTATGATATATGAATGTGAGGGAATACTCTTATGCTGTAAGAAATTAAGGGGATGGTTTCAGAGAAACAAGAAGACTATATGAACTGATGCAAAGTGAAGTGAGCAGAACCAGGAGAACCATTTATACAACAACTTCAATATTGTAATAACAAACAACTTTGAAAGAGTTAGGAACTCTGATCAACACATTGACCAGAGGCAGCAAGGTGGCATGGTGGATAGAGCACCGGCCCTGGAGTCAGGAGGACCTGTGTTCAAATCTGGCCTCAGACACATAACACTTACTAACTGTGTGACTCTGGGCAAGTCACTTAACCCCAATTGCCTCACACACACACAAAACCAAAGTACTTGGACCAACCACAGTTCCAGAGGGCTCATAATGAAACATGATATCTACCTCCTTATAGAGAGGTGATGAACTCAGAGTGAGACTGAAATGTATTTTTTTTGGACATGACCAATGTAGAAATTTGTTTTGTTTGGTTATACATGTTTGTAGCAGATTTTATTTTTCTCTTTTTATTAATGGGGGATGGAGGAAGTGGGCAGGAGTCAATGTGGACTTGAAAATAAAGAGGGAACAGAGTGGAATAGTTAAGTTGAAAGAACAGGATGCTCCCTGGAAGGCTGCGGGTAGACAGGGAAGCCAAGTACTTGAACTTCTCGTTTGTCTCTAAGTGACAGGAACTGGGCCTTACTTACCAGGTTCTTGATCCACTTGTTGGCCTGTCCCTGGGGGTCAATGAAATGGGTCCAGCGCTGAGAATATTGTGTGATGACACCATTCTCCACTGACAGGGTGTCATTGGGGAGGCCTGCAATCTGGGAGCAAGAGGATCAGCTTGGTGTCTGTGACTTTGCTCACTGGGCAATCTACCCGCCAAACCCTACACAAGACCATGGAGCTGCCCATGACCCTTCCCAGACTGGTCTCCCATATACCCTGCAGGGTCCTATAAGAAAAGCATGTCTCTGTGCCCATGTGAGCATAGGCACATACATACTTGTATGTGATTATGATCCAATCACTCTTCTGCTCAAAAGGTATAGACTGCCCAGCCTGGTATGGAAGGCCTTCCACAATCTGGGCCCACTCTGCTTTCCCATCTCTAGCTGGGCCAGCCCTCAGGCTGCTGCAGGGTCCATTCTGGTCATACCTGCCATGACCGAATCTTCACTGGATTCCCCAGTGTCCCAATCAGGGTCGGTTCTGCAGTATGGGGGACCTCAAATTTTGAGAGCTGTCCTAACCACAGCTCACACAGTGATGTCCGGTAGTGCCCCTGACAAGAGACAGAGACCTCAGACCTGGGCCCACATGACAGGACTGGAGCCAAGGTACCTAGTGTTCCTCATGGAATAATGCTCAGGGGCTCAGCAGAGAATTCTCTAGGGGTAATGGTTTCAATATGCTCCTAATAGCAACCCAGGAAGGCTCAACCTTCTAGCATCTTTCTGTGGGACCTAAGAGAGGAGTTTATCCAAGGAAGCTTGCCAAGATGGTGCTGAGAGGTAAAGGAACTGCAAAGGGTCGTGTTTGCACAGAGCCCAAGAGAACGAGAAGGATGCAGTGTCCTTGAGAGGCCAGGACATATCTGTCACAGGTTTAGAGCCTATCAGAGTTGGGGATGTCTGATGACCCTGGAGTCATCTGAGATTCCCACTCATGGTCCATCCATGTAGGCAGCAAGGCTTGAAGTGGTGGAAGGAATTCCAACTGGCTGATCTCCCACACTATGGGAAATCAGACACAGAAAGACAGCAGTGGCCCCAAGCAACACTGTGCTCACTCAGTGATCCAGGTAAGCCTGGAAGGCAGAACAGGCTGGGGATTGGTTTGATATCTGCAAAACTACTCATTACATTGTAGAAGGAGGCGTGTCAATGGATAAGTCTTGAAGCACACTTAAACATCATCTCTTCCCGGAATGTCTCAAAGAAGCTATTCTCTCTCTGTGATGCATCAGCTGGTGGAGCCAGCGAGGGCCTGGGTCGAGTCTGGGTTGTGTTTAAGTTGGAGAGCTTGCAACAATCAGGCCTGGGATAGGGAAGATGGTCTGAGCAGAGGCTAGTTTCCTGGTTTTCCTTACCGTGAAGGGCCCAAGGTAGGCCACAAAGCCAGCTGCCATCAGGATGTCACCATAGATATTGTTGATCAGGTAATCTAGGTTTGCAACTGTCTCTTGCCAGCGCACCTTTTCATCAGCCAGTCCATTGATCAGCTGGGGGAAAGAAGGCCAGGTAGGTCACATACAGGACCATGATGTTATTTCCCAGAGTTCAGGGCACTGCTCCTCATTCTCCATAGGCTGCCCTGAAGATCTCTCCTGGGAAAATGCCTTGATGCCCCTTGGGACAGATGACTACTCTTTCCACCACCATTGCATGTGGGCCCCCGAGAATAAAGGGGGTGGACCTTGCTACAAGGATAGACCAACAGCTGAAGGAAGGTACAAGAGGAACATGGTTAGGATAAATCTAGCTTGAAGGCAGATTAGAACTAGGAACTGAGTGAAAGTGAGGCCAGTAAGGTAGGGCTAAAACTAAGCTCTCCTTCCTCCAACAAAAAAAATGCATCAAATAAAGCAACAAACAAAAGAAGCAAAAAGGAATGAAATACAAGAAAACTAAGAGAAAACAGGAAGAAAAGAGTAATCCAAAGAGGTCCTAATTAATAAATACAATGAGGCAAAGAAATTGAGAAGTCTCCAGAAGGAAAGAATATTGTACCTGGGGGTGAGTAAGGCAGAAAAGAAAGAAGACTGCATGTGGCCCAGAGACAAGGTAGGGGGAGTTGGTCATCCTTGGGGTAGGAGTAATAGCAACTAGGGCTGGGTTAATTTTGGGGGGAGGGCAGCTGCTCCCAATCAAGTCTCACAAGACTTGACCCACAAGAAGCCAATGCTCAGGTCCACACCTTCTTCTCACCAGACGTGTTTCCAAGTGGAGGCAGGGAGACACTATGCCTGCCTAAACTAATGCTGTATTCTCTCTGAACATCCTTTCCAGGGTATGGCTAAATGATCCTTTTTTTATTGACCATCTAATATCTACAATTTTGTTCTAGCCCCAAATGTGAACCATGCACTGGCCCATGACAGTCCCCTCCAGTCTGGGGTCAACTCCTTTCCGGCCTGAAGGCTGAATCTTCTCTGTGCACTGAGGCTCATGAGGTGATGAGGACAGGATGCAGCCCATACCTTGTCAGCACGGCCCATCCTTTGCTCGCACTGTTCACACTTCATCTCCAGCTCTTCCTTCTTGGCAATGCAGTCTCGGTACTTGGTCTGGAGGGTGGAGATGCCATCCTCCACTTCTTGAAGCTTATTTTTTGCAATATCCAGGATCTTCTGAGTTGTGTCCAGGTCTTCCTGGGCCTCACGCAGGGCTTGCTGAGGAGGGGGCAGAGCGAAATGGAGTAAACTTGAGCTTGTATAACCTTTGCTAACAGCCAGGAAGAATTAATACTGAAGAGAAGAAAGAACCCTGGGCCAGGAATCAGGAAATCTGGGTGTTTATGCCTGTGCTGCTGCTGGTTAGTTGTGTGACCTTGGGCAAATGTCTCCCCTTTGGGACCTCAGTATCCCCATCTGTACAAAGAAGGGGTTGGACTGGACAATCAAAAGGACCCCTTTCATCTATGATGTTTAAGGATTCTCTGAAACAGCCCCAGCTGAGAGAACGTGTTGAGAAGTAGGGTTTGGAGAAGTGGGCCACATGGACCAGAGAGCCCTTTCCACTCATAGATGGCTGCCATATCCAAATTCTACTCTCCATCTTCCCTTTCCCCTACTCACCCTCTTTGGCTCCACAGCCTTGGCTACAAAGTGGTACTTGTGCATGGCTCGCACCCACTGGCAGATAGACGTGCATGCCTTGGACACTTTGGCAATGGCTGCGGGCTGAAATTCATCATTGTCGATGTAGGGCTGGATGGCTTTAATCACAGAGTCAGCAATGTTGTCCTGAAATCAGAGGGCATGGGATAAGAATCGGCAGAGCAGGCCAAAGAGAAGAACCTGGAAGGTGGTTTTGGAAGGAAGCTCTTGGTTCTGGTAACTTCACACCTCTATGGAGCTTGGGGCTGACTGAGCTGTGGTCCCTGCCTGACCACCTGCTCTTTCTCCTTCTTGGGCTATGTGTTAGAAGGGAGCCTAGCAGTTTTATGTACATGTGCATGGCAGGCAGGCACAGATGCCCTGTAAAGGACATACGGACTGAGGTTGGTAATGGGAGACATTCACTTTTGGCTTAAAGCCCTGACCTCTCAAGTCAAAATCGAGTGGCCGCCCTCTCAGTGATATAACTTTGACTCTGTCCCTCTAGGCTCTTTCTCTCTAAATTACTATTGCCTCCAACTATTTTTCTCTTGCTCTGGCATTCACATTTTTAAAATTTTAATTAGGGATATCTGTTTATCAAGGACAAGGAGGAAATTTGCTGGTAACATAGAATTAGCAGCACTGAAAAGTCGGTCAGCCATTCAGGACTGGCCTCAGGAAGAAGAAAAAGGTCTTAATGAAGTTCTGTTGACAGTAACAGAAGCAGGTGAATGACATGAACAGCCAGAGATGCCTCAAAGTCATGTAAGCTGCTCCAAGTAGTACGGAGTTTCCCAACATAGAAAGTCCTCAAGCAGAGACAGAATGACCCATTGTTGGAGATACTGCAGAGGGAGTATATTTAGATGTTAATTGGACTTGATGACCTTGATGACCTCTACTGGGCTTCCCTCTAGTTCTGGGGCTTTACCTCATTATCAGGTACTATACTTCAATAATAGCTATAATAGCAGCTAATATTTATAGTGTCTACTGTGTGCCAGGTACTGTGCTATGTGCTTTATAATTATTAACTCATTTGATCTTCACAACAGCCCCAAGAAAAATAAAGTAAAGTAAAGGAAAAGTATGCTTTGATTTGCATTCAAACTCCATCAGTTCCTTCTATGGAGATGGACAACATTTTTCATCATAAGTCCTTCAGAATTATCTTGGATCACTGCATTGCTGAGAATAGCTGAGTCATTCACATCACACAATATTGCTGTTACTATATACAATATTCTCTTGGTTGTGCTTATTTCATTTTGCATGAATTCATATAAGTCTTTCCAGGTTTTTCTAAGAGCATCCAGCTTGTCATTTCTTTCTTTCTTTCTTTCTTTCTTTCTTTCTTTCTTTCTTTCTTTCTTTCTTTCTTTCTTTCTTTCTTTCTTTCTTT